CCCCGGAAGAAAGTTGCAAATAATCCCCATGCCAAGCAAAGGACACTTCCACTTAGGCCACCAATGCCAAGTAAAAGTGATGTGGCAAAGGATAGCAGAGTAGCAGTGCCTCTTCCAAACATGGCTTGCGCAATGCGGCCTCCTTCGAGTCTCCCACATGGCAACAAGTTCAGAGAAGTCACCACCATGCCTGCCAAGAAATCTAGTCAATACCTTGTATACAGATTAGATACTAATATTTAAGCAAATACAGGATTTCTGCACAAAGTAATCATATCAATCTCTTTTTCCCTCAAAAACCAAATGTTCAATTATTTCACAGTTGTTCGGCGGAAATAATTGAGGTTAAAACGCTAAAAGAGCATGCAAATTGTACAAAACAATTCTTTTATACCCCATACCTCCACTTTTGCAGCCAACTCACAGTCGGTTGTTTGGGGAGAAGGATGACAGTAAAAACTGTAAATGGATTAAGAAGGCTGAGGAACTCACCTAGAAGTCCAGCAAAAGCAAGGGGATCAACAGGAACTCCAACACCTTCAACTGCATAGGGCAGCACATTTCCAAGGTCATCCGTATAAGGACCAATAACAAATTGGACAAAGGAAAGCAAGGGATTGTTATAGAAGAACTGAGGCCTTATATACCTGCCAACAAAAAAAGGAATGATTGTTAAAACCAAATATTAAGTGTGGTATGACAAAGTTTAAAACAGTGATGCTAGAGTTTTGTTGAAGAAATATTGCAATATACTGCTGAAACTATATTTAAAGTGAGCAATACCACCATTGGTATGCACAAAGAATGATTGAGGATCTTTTCTAGGCATTTTAAAAACCAATTTTTATGCTTCGGAGACAGGGTCTGTGAAGAAATTACAATGCATTGTCACCCCCATTAAAGCTTCCATCAGCCACAAAAGCAGAAACCGTAAGCACCAGGGACGTAAGATATGCACTAGCTGTGCGTGCAACTGGAATGTCAAAAAGAGCTTTCTTATTTGGAAGCAGTGATTCATAGTTATTCATCACTCCCAAACACCCTGTCCAATTGGATGGCACAAGAAAAGATGGACTGAGTTTTACACCATGGCGAGCTGCTGTCACTCTAGTGGCTATCTGTGTAACACAAACTTGTCAGAATGAAAAAGTGATAAGAAAATTGCATCACATACAACGTGTAAAGAAATCCGGAATACATAATCTCATAACCATCGCATCTGAACAAAGGAATGCAAAGTCTCCTCATAATAGGTATATCCAATTCTTATTTAAATAGCATCCTTTTCATGTTAGATTTACATCCTTGACAATTATGTGCCAGAGAATAATAGGAATTGCCTAGATTAATGACGGACAAGTCAAATGCATAAAAAGATACCTCAGAAACGCCCAAAATGGATATGAAACCACCAAAGAGAGGCACAACATCAGCTAGGTAGTCATCCCATGTAGCATCAGGTTTGAGGAAGAAGCCACTCATCAGAGCTATTGTTCCGAAAGTAGCAACGCACAAGGCTACTGCACTAACATAACCCAAAGGAGTGCTCAGCTTGGTTGACTCAAACTGTAGATCAATTTCTGCTTTGGGTTGCACCATACAGACCTTAAAGAATAACCGTTGTAAAAAATCAGAAACAACAACAATTTTCTATTTCTCCTCAGGGTACTCGGCAAGTAAATAACAGGGAATCCATTAAGAAAGTTACAGAATTTTCAACTCCTAAACCTCCTAGAGCACAGACCATCAAACTAAGGATTTCAATCTCAATTCAACAGGCTAAGATCAATACAGGAAACAAGTTAGCCTATAATTAATAGTCATAGAGCTGGTTTAAATACCTGTTTTCTGATGTCATTTGTGTTTTCTTCCATGAACCATAACACAACCTCCCTTCCCGCCGCGTCAGACAGTTTTTGCTCCAATTTGGGCATGACCTCTTCAATTGGTCTCCTCAAATTTCCAACAAAAATGCCCCCATCTCCAAATCTCCGAACATCAGTGGGAAAAAATGAATCAAATCCAAAACAACTTTTTAACTGCCACATGAAATAGACACAATAAGATGCAAAAGCTTGGTGCCTTTTGGCATAACTAATAAAATGCACCCTACAAAATGACTAAAGATATAAACGATACCATATAATAAATGAATAGGTAGTAAATTATACTCCATATCAAGTCATCTTCTGGCATAAACAAGTATATTTAATCACATCCAAAGGTGCTTGCTTTTTCACTTATACTACAAATAAAAAATGAATCCCAGGCAAGGTTTCTTTTCTAAAGAAAAGAACCATTCATGAAAACATAAACAGAAAGGAGAAAATTACTTTGTTAAGATCAATTGCCTTGAAGGCTTCTTCAGCTTTCTCCAGCCTCTCCTTCTCTCTAGTCAAACTATCACGCAGAATTTTATTAAAGAGCCCTACAAGTGGGTTACCACTACTTTCCCTATCAAGATCCTTGAGTTTCCTATCTGCCCTCTTCTTCTCCAACTTTATTGCAGCTTCGATAGAGGGATTTCCCATGAACTTCTTGAACTCCTCATCTGTCTTCCAATCCATTTCTTGCTGTCTCTCCTTCTCCTCAGACTCAGAGCCACTCTCCTTACCCGTTTCAACTTCTTCCGCTGGCAATTTACTCTGCTGGGTATCACTGTCATCACTTGGCTTCTCAGTAATTACAACAGCCGAAGAAGATGAAGAACTGGGTTCATTTTCTTGATCATTTTTCATGGAAAATGAAAGACGACGTCTTTTTGAAGTGGGATTGGAAGACGGAGATAAAGAGAAGTACTGGGTCTTTTTACCAAATGGGATTTTGGTGAAAGATGAGACAACGGCTCTACTGTTGTTGGTCTTGGGAGGCCATGAAGAAACGGTGTAACGTGAAGCAACAGAAACAGAAGCCATTGGAGAGCTTGGAGAATAGAGTGAGAGATGTGAAAGGCCATCGTGTGGTGGCTGGACATAAAAAGAGCGCTGGAAACAGAGAGAAGCCGGTCTAGAAAGTTGGAGAAGCTAGGAGGGGGTTCCTTCAGGACACCCGTCATGGGTGCTGAAGATTGTGACAAAAGGATGAGACCCCGTGAAAGCTCAGTGGGGACGTGGAGCTCCAATCGGCTTGTGGTTTTGGATTTTGATTGGAATATACAGATTAAGGGTGATCAGTGCAACCAATTAGCGTTTGTGTGGGTTTTGGTGCTCTGTTTTTCGGAATTTTAAGGAGGTTTGAATCTGAAATTTATATTTTACTGATCCGATCACATGCCACTTCAGTTACGAAATGGGGACATCCTTTAGATTACGTGATTCAACTTTAAACTTTTTAAGTTTAATCAAGAATTTCAACTTTAATTACCAATTATCTCTTGGTCCAGCAGTACTTTTCATTCTCATTTTAAAAGGGGTCTTAAGTTCAAAACCCCAACAAATAAGAAAAAAATCAACTTTTATTGTATTAAAAAATCATCTCGGCTCTCCGCTCTACCATTACAGCTAGGTGCTGTCATCAATATCACAGCCCACACGTGGGAACTATTTTCATGACAACAACACTGCTTTACTTTTTACTTGCTAGGAGTCGTTATTTCTTCGAAAGTGTTTGGTTTGCTTCGAAAGTGTTTGGTCCACGTAAAAGAAGGTTGGGATTGAAAAATTATTTTGTTTCTTATGTTTGGTAAGTTCAAGTTTGAAAAAATAGCTCATGCTTTATGAAAAAATGAGGCCGGAAATGAAATCATCCATCAAGCTTCAGTTCCAATTTCATTTCTCAGAGGAAATCGCAGCAAACGCAGAAGTATAATTGAATAACTAAATAAATTTTTACAAATACTTTCCCAAGATTACCGAACATGAGAAATGAATCTCTATTTTTCCATTCCCTTAGAAAAGACACGAAACTAAATTCCCGTAAATATCTTTCCGCAAACTAAACGCAGCCTTACTAAAGAACGCATGTGAAACTACAATGCATATGTGATGAAGAATGACTAGTACAAAAAGAGCAACTAATTCTATTAATCCAAGGTAGTTGACCCAAAAAAAAAATTCTATTAATCCAAGGTACTGGTTGGGCTGTGATCCTAAATAGTCACAACCCATCAAATGAAATAATTCTTTTACTCTCATTCCTTAAGAGAGGTCAGGGGTTCGATCCCTGCTCTCGTATGGAGTCACCACTTTAGCCAGCACTTTACTCCTTACGGGCCGACTCGGTGTGAACGGGGATTAGTCTGGGTTGTGGTTAAGGCTTAAAGGTGCCATCCATAGTTGGAGCCCATCCAGGACCACCTCGTGGTTTAGACCAAAAAAAAAAAAAAAAAAAAAAAAAATCATTTCAAATTTAATTAGAACCCTATCCGGTCTTTGCATTCAACTCAAATTCCTTGAAGTTGCACACGAAACCCCTTCTACATTTAATTAAATCATAGATAAGCTTGTTTTAAAATTCAAGTTGTTCATTTGACAATATTGCATCCAACACATTGTTGTTTAGCTAATGAAAATTTTCCTTAAAATATTTACTTTTAAGAGAAAGGAGTAACAATACATCGAGATTAAAGAAAGTAAGGAAATGAGGAGGATATCGATCAAACTCAAGTACAGGGAAACATGCACACTACATTAGTCAACGCGCCTAACCAACATATGCAGAATATTCTTTTGATATACGTCAAGATACAATTCACCTTATCATTTGAATTCTCCAAAAGGGAAAACAAATTCACAATAATACCTGTATTTACCATATCTTTCTTTTAGGTTGTATGTGAATTACCAAATTATTTTGACTACATATGGTAAAACATGATTTCATACCCTCTTCATGGTCGGCAAACCCAACGGTCGTCTACTAGAGTGATAAGTCTTGTTAAGTATACGACACACTTTGTTCATGTCCTTAAAAAACAAATAAAAGGTCCTATTAAAAAGGGTTTAATTAAAATTTAACGACGATATAAACCGCCCCGGTGTAATTAAAGCTTCGAAATTCAGCCCAAAACAAAAAAATAAACAGCGAAATCAAATTGAAGGCTTCAAGTTCTCACGTGTTTCACCGTCACAGCTTCTTCACTCAGCTGGTACGATTTTTCTCTCATTTTCATCTTAATTCTTAGTATCCTTTTCACTATCACGCGAAAATTTCAATACTATGTCCAAAGAATCAAACTTTTAATGCAGTTTCCAATATATATATTGTATGCATCTTCAACTTCAATTGTCCTCAGTGTGGTATGCAATTAATTAGGTCAGCTTTTGCTTCAATTGAGATTCTTAAATATGAAATTAGGGCTTTAAATTTGATTTGGTTGACATTCTGGGTTAGTTTGGGATTGGGTGGTGGCACCGTCACTGCCTACATTTTGGCTTATGAAAAATATCGTGTATATATATATATATATATTTTCTGTGAATTTAAACCTGTCTGTTTGGGCTAGTTTTTCATATCAGTTTATATAAAGCTGTAGAAATAGTAATTGTCAGTAGTTCTATAATTTCTGAACAGAAACCTGAAATGGTTTACATAATTTTGACTACTTAGAATGAATTATTTAATTTTTTGGGTTACTCTGTTTTCTGTTTTGGTTGCAGATTTCATCCCTTCAATCTTGGTTGCAGATCACTCCTTTGTCTAATGCCTTTTAAATTTTGATTGCGCATATGAACCGTCATAGAAGACTTTGAGCAATCAAATTATAAGTTGGTGCTGCCTCACCTTACCCTTCCTTTTCTTGTCTCATCTTTTCCTTGCATTGCCGCTTGAGTTGTCTTAATACCTCTCCTTAGCTGTGCTTGTTTTATGAACATGTTTCTAAATCTGCAACTCTCCATGCCATAAACATTTAGGTTCTATTTGCTTCGTAGGCTAGATTAGATCATATATTATCGTGTGTTTGTTGATGGAATCTATTTTTCCATTAAATGGAATTTTGATGTTACACTACTTGATTACAAAAGCTTCCATCCTAACATGCTTTCTTGGATCTGTAAGATGCTAATGATGGTTGTTGACTTTGCAGTTGTTTTCAGAGGCATATCTTGCTGAAATGGCCAATAACCCTCAGTTTTCAGGTCTACAGGTAATGTGTAAAGAAAACTGTATTTATATGTTTGTATCTTGTAGATCACTTATATTTAGAGATTTTTTTTAGTTTTTCTATTTGCTCTATACATGTTTTGCTTTAATCTTATTTTTCTCATCAATTTGGTCTGAAGGGGTACCTTTCTGGAGTCTTTTAGGCTATTACTTTTTATCTGCATTCCAAATAGATTAAGGAACTCATGGCGTCTTTGCTTCATGCATCAAGGCTTGTCTTATATCTTCATAGGTTCTTATCCAGTGACCTGAAGCTGGGTTTGGTAATTTAAGTTGACTTTTTTATTTTTTTATCTTTAAATTATTTAATACTTTCCTTTTTGTTCTTTCTGTTTCTGGTTTTATAAGCGGTGAACTTTGTGGTATAAATAATTGACTAAGTTCATTATTTCTAATGTATTTAATATTTTGGTTTCCCTCCTTGCTTATTACCTTTTAGATGTTAGGGCTGTTCATTTTTTGGTTACCTTTCTATTTTCCAGCAACATGCAAGACCATTTGCACTTGAAAAAGGTGACGAGGCAGTGTTTTCCTTTCTTATGGATCCATACCATCCATTATTTTAATGGTTATACTTTCTCATGTATTTGACTTTTCCCTTCAAAAATATTTTACCTTTCAAAAGTATGAAAGCTTCTGATTCCATAAAAAAATTTAAAAATAGATGCTGGCCAATTATATTCTTATGCTTTGCTAATTATCTTCTCCATTTTATTTTTGTTGGATAGCCTCTTCGGCCTCCTATGGTTGGTTCTGTTGATCCTCCTCGAAGTTTGCCGCCCATGTCTTTTCAAGTAACACATTCCTTCTTAATGAATTTGTTTGTCACCTGTATATTTTCAATGACATCTAAAAACAGTCCCCTTCCAATTTAATTTTATGCTGCAGTTCCGGCCAGTAGTTCCAGCACCACATTCGCAGGAGTTCATTTCTGTGGCTTCTCAAAATTTTCAGCATGTTGGTAGGGGTGTTCCGTTGATGAATGTTAGACTGCCTCCTCCAACTCACCAACCCCAGTTTTCGCAACCAATGCAGCAGTTACCTCCAAGATCTGGTCAGGCAGGTCATGGTATGCTGCCATCACAGGCCATTCCATTGCCAGTTAGTCAGCCCAACAGGAACTTTGCATCTGAATTGCCCCTACCTCAGCCTAATTCACAAGGTCCAAATAACGCCATGCCTAACTTAGGTGGCCCACGAACACCTCTCTCTTCATCATATACTGTAAGTCTTAGGAGTGCTGTTGGTTGACTTTTTATTTTACTTTAGGCCTTGAATTCATAAGTCTCACTTATGCAGTTTGCACCTTCTTCTTATGGTCAAATGCCAAGAAGTTTTAATGACTCCACCCAGTATCAGTCTATATCTCAATTGCATGCACCTAATGTTTCATCAGAGGGACAAGTTACACCTCTGCAGCACACCGGCGAACGGCCTGCTGTAACCTCTTCCAGTGCTCCAGTAAGAAGCCTCTTTTTTAAGCTTTGAGCCTATTTTCATGCTCCTCAGCTATCTATGCCGATTTCTTGGTAGCATTCATTATCTCTTAAAATTTCAGGAAACAGGTGTACGGCCTAACCCTGCTGGAGGGACCGTGGCAGAATGGAGAGAGCATACATCTGCTGAAGGAAGAAGGTGGTGATTCTTACTATTCCACCTAATTGTTTCTTAAGCTTCAGTTTGTTAGAATGTCGTACTTTAGTAGTTTTTTATGGCTGATAACCTGTGCTAATCGAATATTGTTCTTTGCTGTATGAACTATTCAGATTTTATTACAACAGGAGGACAGGATTATCTACTTGGGAGAAGCCTTTTGAATTGATGACACCATTGGAGGTTAGTCATGCATGTAACTTACTTGTCCTGGTGCCCCTTTGTTAGTGATCATTTAACAGTTTTCATTTCCATGGAGTTGTGAGCTTGTCTGTGTTTCCTGGTTGGTGGTGTTCTGATTGGGTTTGATTTATCAAGTTCCTTGTTGTTCAAATGTCCGCTCTTTTTGTATCTTGTTACACCGCATTCAAATCTTATGCAAGTCTGGTGAAATTTGGTCCATTAGCTCATGACAGGAGTTTCTCTCAGGCAGACAACCACTAATTTGTAACATTCATTGCAAGGTTACCACTATCCAGTAGCCTGGTTGGACCATTAGTTATAGCTTTTCTGTGTACATTGAGATAAGTCACAAGTCATTTTTATACAACTTTTTTTGGGGTGTTATTGGCTCAATTATGGTGCTAAGTTTGAAATAAGGAAAGAGTTACCTTTTGTATTGGAAACATTGTTTATTTGTGTTGGTAACTGGAAAATCCTACATCTTTTGCTTGAAGAATCTTTAGTATGTACAGGATGCTTTTTTCTTCAAATTAATTGACAATATTTAGAATGTTAGGTTATTGACACATAATTAGTAAATTCGTTAAAATACACAAAATGAATCTCTCAACAATCATTATCTCATAACTTTCGATGAGTTCATGGTAATTGGCTTACCTAAGTTTATATATTCGATATACATGTTATGGAAATGCACTGAGATGTTTACTTCTTGTCATACTGCTAATATTATTCTTAATCATTTAACGTTTGATCCACTTCGAAGGTATTCTCTTTTGGTGAGACTTCCAAGGTATTACGAGATTTGTTTTCTGTTGTTTTCTATTTGCATCAATCCTAGAAATAGTGTTAATTGTGTTTCAATTCGTTTAAGAGTTTTTTCATTTTTGTTTTTTTGTTTGTTTTCTCTTTGTTCATTTATGCATTGTGTGATTTCCATAGCTTTAAAGATGCTTACAGGTACATGGCGTGCCAATCTATTGAGAGGTAGGATATGCTGTGGGTCTTTGCTGCTTGCTCTACGTACTATATAGCTTGAATGTTAGTAAATCCTGTCATTTGTTTTACTTGATTTTACGATAACATTTGGGTGAAATTGTATGTTTAATTCTTTAGTGCATACTATTTGAGACTTTTGCATTTACACTGCTATAAGGAACTCGACAAAATGACCTCGTAACTTACATCAGAAACATCTTTCTTCCATACATACATGCATTGTGTTTTCAGTTTTAAATTTCTGGCTTTGATAGGTACCTCATCTCTTTATAATCGATTAAAACTTGTCTAATTTTAGGGCAGAAATTGAGAGTTTTAAAATTTTACTTTATTGTAGCTTGAAGGGTTTTGCCTCATATCGTTTGGGGTTCATCTTTCAAGGCTTGCGCGTAATCTTTAGTGTCGTAGAGGACAAGAAAGTTGCAGTGCTTGATTCTTTGAATAGTTTTAGCAGCTATTATTATTGGGATTCCCAGTTAGAAGGGCCTTCGTGTAAGTTGCACGGTGGTTTAGTTTTTGTAAAGTTGCATTAGGTGAGGGTTCTAGGGGCAAGGGAGGGAATTATGGTTATTATTAGGAAGTTTTAGGTGAAATTCTTCCATTGATCTTAAGCAATTTTTTCTGCGTGCCTTTATGCTAGGGTGGGTGACTAGAACTATGTTAGAATTAAGATCATATGATTTTCGAATTTCATCTTCTCCAGTGGCTCTTTCCCCAGACATGTGCTGCCTCTGTGTGTGTGTGTGAGAGAGAGAGAGAGAGAGAGAGAGAGAGAGTTCACCAAAGAAATTCATTGTGCTGGATAGGAATAAAATCGATTGTGCCAAAATTGTTGTTAGGCAGGCGCTGTAGTGATATTAATGTTCTAGTTTTTCTGCCAGAACTTTGGTTTGTAATACTTGTCAATGTTAGCTTTACTTTTATGTTCGACAATTCTTATTGTTCGATTTGTGCTTCTGGAGCTGGACTAAAATGTCACAGTTTTACTTTTCAACCTACAACTAGCTCCACTTTTCTCTATTAATCTAATTTGGGAAAAAGTATTGCTTAAGATAGAAATTCAACTTATTTAATTTCTTCACTGGGACAGAGGGCAGATGCATCAACTAACTGGAAGGAATTCACCAGTCCTGATGGAAGAAAGTGAGTAATTGATATTGGTTCTGTAAATATAGTCATCAATGCAAGTTTACAATTTTAAACTCGTTGGTACTTGTTTGCTTCATCCCACATGTAAATGCTACAGGTATTACTACAACAAAGTCACAAAAGAATCAAGATGGATTATGCCTGAGGAACTGAAGGTTTTTCACTGTTCCAACCCGTTTGCACCACCCATCTATGCCTCAAGTTTTTATAATCTTTCCCATTTTTATAATTTTCTTATTATTCATCTTTGCAAATATTTCTTCAAGTTGGCTCGAGAGCTTGTAGAAAAGGCGCCTGTGAAGGAAATGCAACAAGAAATGCTTGTAAATCATCATGCTACAGTCACCGTTTCCCCCCCTGTAGCTGAAGCTGATACGCTAGTCAATGCTGCCCAAGTAGCATCAAGTCCTGTTTCTGTGGCACCTGTTATTGCCACTGGTGATGGTGATGTTCAAACTGCTGCAGCATCAAGATCATCTACCTCACCTGTTGTGGCTTCTCCTGTAATAGAAAATCCCAATGGAGTTCACACACCTGTTGTTGTACCATCTTCTGCTGTGTCAAGTGCTGAAGCTGCTGTTACAATCAACGATACTGTTGCAGAACCAATGTACTGTCATTTAACTGGTTTTAGGTGCTTTCATTTGCAATTGCAGGTGGTATGTTTGGTATGTATTTTGAAAATCTGAAATTTGTTGAGCTCATTTTGTAGGGAAGTTCGAACAATTTATCAGCTCAGGATTTTGTTAGTTCTGCTGATGTAGTTCCAGTACAGGAGAATGAGGTATTTTTTAGGTTTCTTCTGTAGTTGTGGTATTGAATTCTTGACGTGCTTTTCTTGAAACTTGATATAACGAGGCCTTGCAGGAAGCTACGGATGACGTAACAGGAAAGAAAATTAATGATATTTCATCAGAAGAAAAACCAGTTGACCGGGAACCCATAAGTTATGAAAATAAATTGGTACAACCTAAAATTCTTACTTCAAGACATTGCGTATCTTTCGTTGTTAATTTCTCAAATTTCAACACATTGCAGTCTCTTTCATTGTTACTGTCCTGGCACACCCTTTATTATTTTAACTTATGTTTTCTTTTTTAGGAGGCTAAAGATGCATTTAAAGCACTCCTGGTGTCTACCAATATTGGTTCTGATTGGACTTGGGATCGGGTAATTTAATTATGTTATGTCATATAACTTCTCTGTTTTTATTTATTTGTTTTATATGGGAAAGTACCTGATATAACACTGAATATTACCAGGCCATGAGGGTGATAATTAATGACAAAAGATATGGTGCTCTGAAAACACTTGGAGAGCGGAAGCAAGCTTTTAATGAGGCAAGTCTTTACTTTGTTGTGCGAATAAAAGAAATTATAGCATATACCAAATAATGGTTTCATGAGAGTGGGATTCTGAGAGGGAGATGTGGTGTTGTCTTAATCTTCATCAATTTGGCAAGAAATAGCCCACTCTCAAACATTGGATCCATGCATTTGGTCTTTGACAGACTGATGTTACCATTAAATCATGACTACTGCTGTCTGGTATTCTTAATATCACAGTTAGAGTATATAATTTGTGTTTTTGAAAGCTGAAAATTTTCTAGCAATTTGATGCACTTATATCGTTGTGGTTTCTTCTGATGATGATATCAATATGCCTATAAATAACCACTAAAATCGAGATTATGTTTCAGTTCTTGGTACAAAGGAAAAAACAAGAGGCTGAGGAAAGACGTATCAAACAGAAAAAGGCACGGGAAGAATTCAAAAAAATGTTGGAAGTAAGTTATGTTCTCCTTGAAAGATTCTTCTTTCTCTGAATAGAAATTTCCTCGTTTCCTTTTCTTATTTATGTCATGAAATCCTTGCAGGAATG